CCCCTATCAGTGTGACCACCCCATACAACGCTGACTTTGACGGCGACGAAATGAACCTCCACCTTCCCCAGTCGTTGGAGACCCGGGCGGAGATCCAGGAACTGGCCATGGTGCCCCGTATGATCGTCACGCCCCAGTCCAACAGGCCCGTCATGGGCATCGTGCAAGACACGCTGACAGCCGTCCGCAAGTTCACCAAGAGGGACGTCTTCCTGGAGAGGGTGAGCGTCTCTTTTGTCCGTCCCATTTCTTGAGCAAAAAAAGGCCTCAGGAAGTCTGCTTTCTTGATTGCAGCTAGTCCTCGACTTAAGGATCACCTTTGAGCTTGCATCTCTTTTAAACTCTCTTTCCTGCTGTGGCTAATGGAAGGGAATCAGGACCCTTTCCTCCCCCGTAAGCCAGGCAACCCACGTTGCTCCCTTCTCCATTCCTCCCTGCATGCCCTAAGATGAAGAGGGGGTGGGCCTGGGTCTTCCTCTGAACTCCCTCTCCCCCGTTCTACCTCTCCCCTCTGCTCTTCCCAGCCAGACTTTGCCCTTCCCCAGTTTCCTTCACAGCCAACGGAGCCCCCCACTCACGCTCCCTGTCAGCTGTTCGGCTTCCTCCTCGGATTCAGACTCTTGACAGGGGCATGACAGTCACCTGAGTAGTGCAAATGGGTGCGGGGCCTTCTTGGGACTACTGAAAGTGCCCTGTTGTGTAGATTGGAGGTAGATAATGGGGGAACCGAACAGCCACTTCACAGACGCATGGCATAACGTAGTAGGAGAACAAACCCATGAGGACTAGATTCAGCAGTCTGTCTGCATTGAAATGACAAAGGCCGCTCTTTGGAAGACTGCAAAGCCCACATTTTGCGCAGAGAGGAACCGCTGGTGTGTCCAAATTGAGCAGCCCTCTTTCAATAAAGGGGGAGCGACACGGCACCCGTCTATCTCCACTCTACGGCTCCTTTCGGCAGTTCCCAAGAAGGCTCCGCACTCATTTGCACCAGTCGGGTGACCCCGAAGACACAGACAGAACCTCCCAAGTGGCCTCAATGGCCTCGCTAAAAGATGACCAGCTGAATGCAAGGAGGATAAAATCCCTTCCATCCCCCACCCTCCAGTCAGAGCTGAAGAAGCTTCTTGGAGGAGAAGCGAAATGTCTTCGAAAGGAAAACCAGAAAGTCCAGTTGCTTCTGGGGTGGGGGGAAGCACCACCTACCTGTAATTGCCGTAGAGTTAGCGTAGAAGACAAGAGGATATGGATTGTGACCTCTGTCTCCTTCCTTCCTTCCCTCCCTTCTTCCTTCCTCCTTCCCTCCCTCCCTTCTTCCTTCCTTTCTTCCTCCTTCCCTCCCTCCCTCCT